GAGGCAAACAATGTGCTTTTATGGGTTTATCATCCCTTTTAACTGCCCAAAATATACCACTGATTGATTGGTCAAAAACAACATTTAATACTTGCAAGCTATGTCTGTGATTGACACAAGTAATTTACCATCTGTAGTGCATGCAAAAACAACTATAACACCTGTGAATCCTTTTGATACACAAAATATCTGTATGGTACTAATAAAATCATTCTACCCATTGTGGTCGAGCCCATTGACGCAAAAAATATCATTGATCTGCCCATTGTGGTAGAGCCCAAAAACTATTGATCTGACCATTGTGTTATAGCTCATTGATGCAAAAAATATTGATCTGACCATTGTGGTAGAGCCTGTTGAGGCAACAACTATCGATCTGCCCATTGTGGTAGAGCCCATCGAGGCAAAAACAATATTGATCTGTCCTTTGTGGTAGAGTCCATTGAGGCAAAAACTATTGATCTGCCCATTGTGGTAGAGCTCAATGAGGAAAAAATTATTGATCTGACCATTGAGGTAGAGCCTGTTGAGGCAACAACTATCGATCTGCCCATTTGGCAGAGCCCATCGAGGCAAAAACAATATTGATTTTCCCTTTGTGGTAGAGCCCATTGAGGCAAAAACTATTGATCTGCCCATTGTGGTACAGCTCAATGAGGCAAAAATTATTGATCTGACCATTGTGGTGGTTGAGGCAACAACTATCGATCTGCCCATTGTGGTAGAGCCCATCGAGGCAAAAACAATATTGATCTGCCCTTTGTGGTAGAGCCCATTGAGGCAAAAACAATATTGATCTGCCCTTTGTGGTAGAGCCTATTGAGGCAAAAACTATTGATCTGCCCATTGTGGTAGAGCTCATTGAGGCAAAAACTATTTATCTGCCCATTGTGGTAGAGCTCATTCAGGCAAAAGCTATTGATCCTGCCCATTGTGGTAGAGCCCATTGAGGCAAAAACTGTCAATCTGCCCATTGTGGTAGAGCCCATTGAGCCATATAGCGAGTGGAAGTGTTAAAACTTCTTGTCAAAGTTGATGATAACAAGTCACTGTGCATTCGTTTTTTCTGGCAAGAAGATACTGCGACAAAGGATCAGATTGGTGAGAGGGTTGGCCGCGCGTGTTGCATGTTTCAGTTGTATATGGTTGAAATTTTAATACAGTATAGCATGCACGATAGTTTCGGCTAGGTGCGCGCGCGGTTTGAATTCGCCTCAACGTCTTGTTGAATTAGTTCGACAAAGGATCAGATTGGTGAGAGGGTTGGCTGCGCGCGCTGCATGTTTCAGTTGTAAATGTTTGAAATTTTAATACAGTATACCATGCACAATAGTTTCGGCTAGGTGCGCGCATGGTTTGAATTCGCCTCAACGTCTTGTTGAATTAGTTCGACAAAGGATCAGATTGGTGAGAGGGTTGGCCGCGCGCGTTGCATGTTTCAGTTGTAAATGGTTGAAATTTTAATACAGTATAGCATGCACGATAGTTTCGGCTAGGTACGCGCGTGGTTTGAATTCGCCTCAACGTCTTGTTGAATTAGTTCGACAAAGGATCAGATTGGTGAGAGGGTTGGCCGCGCGCGTTGCATGTTTCAGTTGTAAATGGTTGAAATTTTAATACAGTATAGCATGCACGATAGTTTCGGCTAGGTGCGCACATGGTTTGAATTCGCCTCAACGTCTTGTTGAATTAGTTCGACAAAGGAGCAGATTGGTGAGAGGATTGGCCGTGCGCGTTGCATGTTTTTAATACAGTAGCATGCATGAGAGTTTCTGCTGCGGACGCAATTTCAGCTTACCTTATGAGCTTTATAATGGTTGAAATTTTAATACAGTTGCATGAGAGGTTTCGATTTCATGCTTTTTTCCTGACTATGTTTTTATTTTTGTTTTTTTTTATACTGATGTGTGGCCGAAATTAACATGCTGAAATATCTGAGGGTAAGTGTTAATCTTTATTTCTCACATTATTGCCAGTTTGCAATTACAGAGATAGGTCGACTTTCAAATGGTTCTAATTTTAGCACAGTTGCATGTATGAGAGTTTTGGCTGAGGACGTAATTTCATTTTGCCTTATGAACTTTATAATGGTTGAAATTTTAATACAGTTGCATGAGAGAGGTTTCGGTTTCATGTTTTTTTCGTGACTCTGTTTTTATTTTTGTTTTTTTTATACTGATGTATTGGAACCCCATTATTGCAGAGCTGATCTTGGTGATGTCAGCTATGTAAATTATTGTGTATAAGGCGGGTGCCTGAGTCACGGAGCAACTTTTAAGGTAGGTCGGTGTTGAAACAATGTAATTTTTAGGAAAAATGTATAGAGATTAGATAAGAATTTTCTTTAATCCGTATTCAGTGACTTGCAAATAAATGGCAATCCCACCGCTGTTTGTGATTCCTTTCAAACTGCTGGTCTGACCATTGAAAATAAGATCTGAAGTGGGTCCAACAGATTGAAGTGATTTGCAAAAAGGTGTCAAGCTTCTTTACTTTCTGTCACAGTTGAAACGAGCAATCGTTCAAACGATGGATTTAGTGAATTCTATGCGTCTAGTATTCGTTCTCTTCTGAGATATGCTTGTGAATTCTTTAATTTTAGTTTCGAGAGAAATTAAACTTATCCTTGGAACGCATTCATAAAAGAAGAATGAGGATTATCGATGGATTTTTGACAATACGTGCGATGTTGCCCTGAATCTGTCGTGCCTGGAGAGATTGTTTGTTTATGGGGAGAAACTTGATGATTTTCTGCAGAAGATTTTCGTCAATACAGAAGATAAACTTTATACACCGCATAATATGAATGGAGACTTCCCCTTAAAGAAAGATTAGAAAATGTACTGTCCGTAAATGTAATACTTACCGTTTTAAAAACTACGACCGTTTTAAAAACTGCGATCGATGGTACAACTAGTCGCTATAATGAATGAACGAACGAAGTCTTTATTTTTATCAGGGTTGTTTCAGTGCTACAGTGAATACTGTTATAAACATGAGCAATGAAAGAACAATGATGGGGACTATATAGTTTAAAGGGGCAATATCAGCCATTTTTGGGCAATTGTAACCCTCGCAAGTTTTGCCCAAAACTGAAAAAGAATGAATGTAGGCACAAAATTAAAGCAATAAGATTCAAAAAACATGTAGATGTGCATGTTGATTAATTGTTGGCAGACACTTTTTCATGTTTTAGTCAATTTTATGAAAATGTTGTGCGTGGAAGTTCAAAGTTTTGTTTAATATGACTCATTACTTAATCATTTACAATGTTTATTTTTAACTTTGTAGTTTAGTTTTTGAACAAAAGGCATTTTAGGTAAAAAAAATCGGTGACAAAAATGGCAAATAATTTTTGTAAATATTTTAAAAAATCTTGTTAACTGTATAAATCTTGTCAATTCAGTATATTGTATTCATATAAAACCACATATGCCAACAAAATAGAATTACAAGTCTGATGTTATACATTTAATATGTATTCTCGTTTCTAATTGGTTAGAAAGCACCGGCTAATTTTCAGTATTCGGCATTTATTACGTATTTTCCGCCGATGACGTCATCAGCGTATCCAAAAAAAAAAATATTGGACTCTCGTGCCCAAGCCCTTGCGCGGCTAAAATCTTGAACCTATAAGCGCGCGAAAAAACCTGAACAAACAATGGCCTACAGCAGATTTGCTTCGCTGCATGAAAGTGAACTCTCCAAATTATTGGCAGATAAGGATAGTGAAAAGCACGAAAAAAGCCACAAAGGGGTAAATAGAAGTAGAAATAGAATATTTAGCTGACCTTTGACTTTGTGCAGGGTGTTTTGATATTCAAATTGGACTTTTCCTACCTCGTGAACTGATGAACAGGAATCGTTTTATATGTTTCTCATGTCTTTAAATGTATAATAAAACAATTATTGGGTTCGGCTTTCGCATGATATCAAGAATTATTGAGACTGCGGTCTATGTTATCTATCCGCCTCAGCTTCGCTTCGGCAGATAACATTGACCTCGGTCTGAATAATTCTTGATATCATGCTCAGTTTCATCCAATTTTTATTGCTTAGAAATGCGTTTGCTAAATTCAGTTTATGTGGCGGTATGTCTTCAGCAGCAGGTACTACAGTATTTGTTCAAATAACTGGGATTTGTTGTGGATCACCTTGGGGGAAAAGTTGGATTTAAAGGTAGATGCCCAATGTTGTTAAAAGTCCCGGACTCTTCCAGATTGCTGATCATTTCTGATTATTTCTAGTTTAGTATCCTCTAATATTATTCAGTATCATTTAGCATCGTTCAATATCATTTTGTAGCTTCTGATGTCATTTAATGTCGTTTATTATCCTCTAGCATTATTTAGTATCCTCTAATACCCATCAATGTCATTTAGTATCTAATATAATTTAGTGTCGTTTATTATCCATTAAGGTAACTTTGTATCCTGTAATACCCTTCAATATCATTTAGTATCCTTCAGCATAATTTCATATCCTCTAATATCCTTCAATATCGCTTAAGTATCCTCTAGCATCATTAAATGTCATTTAGTATCCTCTAATATCATTTTGCTTTTTTATTATTTATCCACTAGTATCCTTCAATATCATTTACTATCATCTTGCTTCATCGTTCTTTTAATATTCCAACGCGGTAATTTACTAATTTCTCGTTCAAAACTCCATTCTCTCCAAACGATTTAATTTTTTTAATTTGTAAGAATATACAAGATATTTCTTTATGAAACTATGTCTTACGACGTTACAGTTAATTTGAACGGCACTTCTTTTGGCGTTCGTTTTAAACCGTCGTGGAGTATAGCTCGCCTCAAAGCCGAAATAGCGCGAAAGAGAAATGTCAGTGCTGTAGGATTAAAAATCATCTTTGCTGGTCAGGAATTACCGGACACCATGACTCTTGGAGTAAGTGAGATAATTATAGCATTGTTAAACGTTTATTTAAGTTCATATGTGATATTAATGCTAGTTTATTTACTGTCAATATTTGTATTAAATGCTGTTTTGATAATGAGTTTAGTACTTTCGTTTTCAAAAGCTCGAGTTGGCCCTTCTGACAGTTCTGTTATATTAATATTTATGTGTTGCACAAATATGTTCTTGGGAAATTTCCTCGTCAGTTGTATCTCTTGGGTGCAAATTTATATATAATAGGGCCATTTATACAAGAGAAAATTAGTTGCAGCTTAAATAAATCACAAACTATTTGTATAAATGGTCAACAAGTTTACAAGCTGTGATTAAATTACCCTGGGGTTGAAAGCTTGGCCCACAGTAAATAAATCCTTCACGGCTAATTTAGGCTGTCGTTTATTTAGGCCGTCGTTTATTTAGGCCGTGGCATATTTTTGTGTCTAGATGGCCGGAATGACCAGTTTCCAGTAACCTTTTTTCCTTCGGTCAATTTTTCTGAAATTTTGTGTTTTAATTAAAAGTACTATAGTCATTGTACGATTCGTATTCTGGCATATTAAAATGAGTGCTGGCGCCATAATGGGTTGTTCCAGAAAAGATCCATACTCCCCCCACAGAGGAAATTTCTGCCGTCTGGAGGGGGAGGGGAGAAAAAATTGTTTCTGATAATAGTAAATGTATTAGGGCATCCAAAGGGGGGAGGGGGGTTAACTTCCTATTTCCTCTGTGGGGGTGGTATGGATGTTTTCTGGAATGACCCAATTCATTGCTGTTTTGTTAAAAAGACATTTCAAATGTGGCCAGCTTACACTTGTTTACTCAATGACATATGCCAGAAAACGAATTGTTCATGATTAATAGCAGCATGTAAACGTAGCTTTAAGCTGCAGAGTCTCGGGCATTAGACAAGTAAAATAAAATAAGTAGGCTGCACTGGGGACAAAACTAGAGACATCAAATGTTACACGGTGGGATTCGAACCTACAACCTTTGTAATGATCTGCCAACTGAGCTAGTAGCGATCAGGTCAGTTTGAGTATGTGATATCTCGGAACCGAGTCTAGTTCCTTCGATATCAATGCAATCTTGTAATCATGATTTTTTTTGTGTTGGTGTAGTGTACTCAGGTGAATATGATGCTAGTAATTAGGGATGAGCTGATAAGGAAAATTGCTGATTACTGAGGCTGATTATTTATAAGCCGATTATCGTAATTAATCGGTACCCTCCGATTATATTAAAAAGCAAGCGAAAAATCACAAGATGACCAACAATGAAGTTGTAAATGCGGTTTTATTGTTTACAATACACATTATGTGCAATTGAAAACAGCTTCAATCTTGCATGTCAATAGTCAAAGTTGAGTTTTGGCAGATTATGGTGTAAAAACAGGATATTGTCAGCTATGCGGAGCTAGTCTGCTGTGTTTTTCAGTGGAAATGTTCCCAGCTTCACTTCGCTTGAGACAAAAGATACAGGTTTTGCAACAAAATGTGAAAATCTATTCGCTTGTATTCAGTATTTTAGCATATGCTTGGCAGCCGATTATCAAGCAATAATCGGCCGATTACCGATTATTTAAAAAACGGCCGATTAATCAGCTTTGCCGATTATTTACCCATTAATCGGTTCATCCCTACTGGTAATGTTACTCTGCACCAACACAGAAAAAATCACGACATTAAATAGGTTTAGCAAAGATGACGCTACGTCAAAGACAACGTGAAAATGGCGTGGGAGCGCATCCATAGATGGGCATATCATGCCATTTTAATGCCATTGTCATGTCGTCTTTGACGTTGTGTCGTCTTTGCTAAACATCTCTATTATCAGATTTTTTGGTGAACCCATTAATCTGCAGAGCTTTCCCATTGACGAGTAAAATTGTCTGGCGTTAGACAGAGTAAAATAATAAAGTAGGGCTCATTGCCACGTAATGGGGTATAATATTGTAGTGTATTTTCAGAACTGTCAGATGAATCACAGTGTAATTCATGCAGTTATCTCTCTTGATGCAACATACGACGGAAACAAGACTGCGACACAGGCTGCCAACTTGACCAACGTCACTCTGACACAAGACGACGCTGAAGATGGTGGCTCGCCACAATCAGGTACTCAATACTATGGTACTTTGCTCACAAGCCTGACAAGATTGAGAGTAGTCAATGACATTGCATTAAGTGAAGCAAATTCTCGTTTAGGGAGACAAAGTTATTTTTATGTGTACTGTAAAACTTGCAAGAGACTAACGCAAGGAAAATTACGATGCAGATGTTCAAGTTGCAAAGAAGGCAGCTTCGTTCTAACACAGGTAACCATGTATATTAAACCAGTCAATGTCTGAAATTTGCCTCAATATCAACATGATACCCTGGCTGTAGATTAACCAAAGTGTGAATGACTTTCATCCCAATTGATACCACAAAACATGGCTGCAAAAGTTCATGAGCAATGCCTCCATTGTATAAGGAATGTGTGCCCCGATACTTCAAAACTTACTTAGTCGACTCAGGAATTCTGGAGTAACAAGCCAACTCGTAGGCTTGGTATTTAAGCTCGTAGTTGTGTTTGGTGAGATTTCAAATTACTGTAGCAAGAACTACGATCCTGGAAAAAACCCTTCGGACACTGTTTCTTCATGGCCTGATGACTATTATATAGATTATGGATGTTTTCATCCACAAAATATTTGTATAGTTCCCCCCCCCCTGGTATTATGTTGCTGTCTCAACTTGTTACGGACAGCTTGTATTGCATGGTCTTGTTGGAACAACTTGTAGCAAGTCTGTTACCGTCATCAACCTTGTAACAAGGTGATAACAACTTGTTCCAGACTTGTCACAACAACTGGGAACAAGCAGTGCGAACACATCTTGAAATCGCCTTCACAACAACCTTGATACAACTTGTTTTCAGATCTGGAACAAATTGCATTTCTACATGTGTAGAAGGATAATCTACAACTCCAAGAGTTTGTATTGCTTGTGCAGCATAGAGCAACCCAGCTCTAGTCAAAGATTTACAATCACAAGGCATGTTACAAAATAACTAACCAGCTTCCTCCACAGGCCATTCAAAAATATAGGGTGGCGAAAATTTGTGGAAATTACACAAGCCTTTGTCTGAGATTTTAAATTTTAACCTGCGAACTGGCATACTCATTACGGGCTGTATGGCCTGCGGAGGAGGTAGACTAACCGGTTCTAGTTTATCTAGGGTCCAAATTGCTGGGAGGATGTTTTGACAAAAGCAAGAATGCCAGGACGATGTGAGTCTAGCGGCAACTGTCAATGTACAACAGCAGTAAGTAATGTTTATAATAATTTATTGGAAAATAATTTTTTGCCCAGTTTACTTTGAGAGTGCTGTCTTGTTATCATGGTTGATTTCTCTACTTGCACGTGACTGCAAAATTTGAATAGAATCTCATTTGCATTCTATCGTTCTTAAGGAATTTTATTTCAAATGTGGGGAACATCGCGATAGTGATGAGCAAGCGCCGTTATCGATGTTGAAATCAAATATCAGAAATATTCCATGCATCACCTGTAGCTCAGAAACAGCGTAAGTTGTTTTATATAATATAGAATAGGGGAGAAAGTACTATTTACTGGCAAATAAAACACTGAGAAGTGTGGTTTGCTTAGAAGTTATTTTGCCATTTGTATTACTGTATGTAACAAGTTGTAAAAAGGTTGTTATCAAGCCAATACCAGGATGTGTTTTTGCACGCTTGTTCTCAGTTGTTGATACAGGCTGTTCATAACAAGTTGCTACCACTCTATGTCCACCCAAAACTCTGTTTTTCATATACCAGAACTTTGTTTTCAAATACCAGAACTCCCTTTTCAAATAGCAGAACTACCTGTTCAAATAGCAGAACTCCCTTTTCAAATAGCAGAACTCCCTTTTCAAATAGCAGAACTCCCTTTTCAAATAGCAGAACTCCCTTTTCAAATACCAGAACTCCCTTTTCAAATACCAGAACTACCTGTTCAAATAGCAGAACTCCCTTTTCAAATAGCAGAACTCCCTTTTCAAATAGCAGAACTCCCTTTTCAAATAGCAGAACTCCCTTTTCAAATAGCAGAACTCCCTTTTCAAATAGCAGAACTCCCTTTTCAAGTAGCAGAACTTCTTTTTCAAATAGCAGAACTCCCTTGTCAAATAGCAGAATTCCCTTTTCAAATAGCAGAATTCCCTTTTCAAATAGCAGAATTCCTTTTTCAAATAGCAGAATTCCCTTTTCAAATAGCAGAATTCCCATTTCAAATAGCAGAATTCCCTTTTCAAAGAGCAGAATTCCCTTTTCAAATAGCAGAATTCCCTTTTCAAATAGCAGAATTCCCTTTTCAAATAGCAGAATTTCCTTTTCAAATAGCAGAACCCCCTTTTCAAATAACAGAATTCCCTTTTCAAAGAGCAGAATTCCCTTTTCAAAGAGCAGAATTCCCTTTTCAAATAGCAGAATTCCCTTTTCAAATAGCAGAATTCCCTTTTCAAATAGCAGAATTCCCTTTTCAAATAGCAGAATTCCCTTGTCAAATAGCAGAACTCCCTTTTCAAATAGCAGAATTCCCTTTTCAAATAGCAGAATTCCCTTTTCAAATAGCAGAATTCCCTTTTCAAATAGCAGAATTCCCTTGTCAAATAGCAGAACTCCCTTTTCAAATAGCAGAATTCCCTTTTCAAATAGCAGAATTCCCTTTTCAAATAGCAGAATTCCCTTTTCAAATAGCAGAATTCCCTTTTCAAATAGCAGAATTTCCTTTTCAAATAGCAGAACTCCCTTTTCAAATAGCGGAATTCCCTTTTCAAATAGCAGAATTCCCTTTTCAAAGAGCAGAATTCCCTTTTCAAAGAGCAGAATTCCCTTTTCAAAGAGCAGAATTCCCTTTTCAAATAGCAGAATTCCCTTTTCAAATAGCAGAATTCC